TGCATCTGGGGATGATGGGTAGCGAGGCCAGGGCGTTCCGGAAATTTCCCTTAGCTGAACCCCAACCCACAACGCAGTGGCTCTCTGCTCCCCAGGGTCCTGCACAGAGGAAGCCGACGTCAAAGCCACCAGGGCTCTCTCTGCCTCTTCCTTCTTGCTCCTGATCAGCCTGAGAACCGAGGTGGGGGCCTGCGGAAGCCTCCCCTGCCCAGCCTCCTGCTGCCACACCCCGACTGACTGACTGACAGGCAGGCGGGGGCTGGCGTTCCTGCTAAAAACACGGAATCGGAGGAGGATCCTCCAGGCATGACTCACGCGCAGAGGGACTGCCCCTGCAGTGGCAGGCTGTGCCCTCCCCGAATGTGGCCCCGAGGGAGACGGCACAATGGAGTGGGGCCAGCCAGGCTTGGGAGGGAAGGCCGTGGGGGTGAAAGGGCTCTGAGGGGGCTGGAGGCAGCAAGGACTTTAGGGTTTGACATGAGCTTGGAAGGGGAGTAAGAGTTGGCTTAGCCTGGAACGGAGAGAGGAAGCGCCAACTGGTGGGCTTCGGCAGGGCAGGCTGTGACCACTTGACAGCCCTTGTGGGCTGAGAAGACGTGGCCGAGGCGGCGGTGGAGCTGGGAGAAACCCAGACCAACAGCCACCTGGTCAGGTCTCCTCAAAGCCATGCATCCGGCCATCTCTCAGCCAAGGTGTGTGCCCGCCTGAACGAAGACTTGCCTCACTAGGCAGGTTGTATGAATGAACCCCAAGACTCAGAGGGACCTGAGAAATGGCATCTGGCCTCCAGTCCTGTGCCCCACACCCTCCTCCACTTAAAAGCCCGCCACTGCCACCACCTTCAAGGGAGACCTGCTCCCAAATCTGCTGGCCCAGCCACATCCTCACCAGCTGGCCCAAGTGGCCCCTGGTAGGGAGTTGAGTGTATGAGGGAGGCATAGAGGGGTCAACAGAAACCCTCTGTTTTAAAGGAATAGCCTCATTTTGATGTCAATATTAGAGAACGTGTCCCTCTGCCTCCACCAAGTGTGCATTTTGCCCCAGGGCTGAGGGTTTAGAGTGAAGGTCAGGCCGGGCCCCCAG